ACATGGCTCATTTGTTATCTCTTGCTACTTTGCTTATTTCGCAGGCTTTCAAGCAATATATTTCGTGGACCGACCCGTGCCGAAAGCGATCGACATCTTTGTATGCGAGATGAACGTATAAGGCGTGATTGTTTCCAAGACTTTCTTCAGAAAACACGAAGAGCGAGCATACGATAAATCAAGCTGTCACATTCTCGTCCCCAGTTTCCACGGTCTACGCTAGGAACGCCTAAGACCATGCTCCCCTTTTGGCGGCTAAGAACGGCTCACATTTTATGACTCGGGCTTTCCTACGGAAGCCCGAGTAAAAAACATTAATTGTTTAGGAAAAGTTACAATAAGCAATAACCAAAGCTTTTTGAACTGGAAATAGTGATTCTGACGGTAAACTCTCACAAAGATCTTTTCTTTTAACTTCAAGCCACAACAGAAAGGTTATTATTTTAAAAAAAAAAAAACTGTTTACCAATGCTGTAAGACAATGTTGAGCAATATAAGCCAACCTTTTCGTGACCCTTTCTTAGTCTCCTTCGCATGTAATAGGCGCCAAAAGCAAAAATAGATCCGCACTGCGTACATGTGTGCTTACGGGTTTTTCCAGCATACGAGTTATATCACTGGTTTTTGGCTTTCCTTTTTACAACAGCAGTCGTTTTTGTTTATTGTTTAAAAATTAGGAAAACTTTTTAAACTTCTCGTTGCCTAGTTCAAACCGAGAAAGGTTGCCCGATATGTTTTTCCTGTCACCCGAAGACAAAATTAAAGGAGACCTATGGTCAAACTCATGGATTAAGTAATCTAGAGATGAAACATGTTGACAAACTTGTAATTATTGGTGTATTTTTGAGGACTGTTAAAACAAGCGGGCTTCGTACCACGTAAGGTTGCACTTATCTCAGAAAGCATAGGCTTTTTTTGTTGGATTTTGTTGCCCGTTACAAAATTGCAGCTGAACATGGAGTGGTAAAGGCTAAGGGTTCTTGGGTCACACAAGACACTCCTGCCAAA